AGTCCGCATTTTCTATTCTAATGTGGTCTGTATTCAAAACGAAACTCAATATGGAACTATAGGAATTAGATCCTACCTTTTAGGACAATATATTCTTATTGATTCCGCAACTATAGCTTCAAAATTTGGGTTAGATGACGATGGTGTCTATGACGAAAAAGAAACTGTAGATTATCCATATCTCCCAAATGCTAGTGTTAGTACCCTTCGATCTCATCACGATCGTTTTCTTCATTTAATGATCTCATGGTGGTTTCGACCATCAGCGGGTAGGTACTCCACTCTTCGTGCTAGGGATTTATTGTGGATGTATTGTATTAAGAATAAGATCAAAATAAATCTTCCACATATTATCTTTAGTGTTCTAGTCGATACTGTAAACATTATCCCATCCAAACATGTTGAAACATTAGTTTATGGTTGTCTTCTTAGCAATCTCTTTATCAAACTTGGTTTGGATATCTCTCTTGACAATCATATTCCTCTCCAAAACCCAATCAATCTCACATCCTTGAAGAAAGCGGATTGGAAACAAGATGAGGTAATCAGTCAATGGGTTTTTAGACCCAGGAGCTAGTTTCTCACGAGCTGCTCCTAGCTCCTCTCATGCTCCTCCTCCTCCGACTCTGGCTTCTGACGATGATCCTGAATTTCAACAGCTTATGCAAGACATCGATGATCACGTACCCAATGACGAGCCTGCACCGGAACCAACTCCACAAGAAGATCAAATGCCTCCATATTTTCGTTCGTTTTTGGAGACATTTGATTTACGGTATGCTTCCATCGAATCCCACTTGACTGCTACTCACGAAGAAGCAAATCAACGCTTAGGCACTTTGGAAGCTCGTTAGATGGAATTTCAAAGGGAGATGCTTGCATTCATGGATGCTCTCTCCCTTGAGATGCAAGCCCGATTTCCTCCTCCGCCTCCCGATCCTTCTATGGATGATTAGACTTATTTTAGTTTGATTGTATTTGGGATTAAACTTAAAACTTTGATTGATTAAACAGTTTGCTATTTTTGGAGTTGAATGATTGGTTGTTTGAACTTATTATAAATATTTGGTTTGGTTTAATTCTTGCATCATTTACATATTAGTTGCATTATGACCAATTATGCCATTTCACATTTTATTATGAATATTGATTATGAAACTAATGGCTAATCTCTCTTTTGATCTTTGATCTTAGTAGCTTAATCTTTAAGTTTCTAAATATAAATTGGCTAAGTTTTTCAAAACCTTGTGTAAAGTTATTTTAGAGTCTTTTTGATTTAACAAAAAGGGGGAGAAGTGTAAAATGTTTTAAAGGGGGAGTAATTTCAAACTTGATTTTCAAAATAGTTTTTCAAAGAAAATCTTAAAATTACTCAAGTGTTTTGTTATATCAAAAAGGGGAGATTGTTGAAAACATTTTGATATTTCGATATAACAAATTAAGTTAAATGAATTTTAAGATTTTACAAATGATTTTCTAAGGTATATTCGAATTAATTAATCGGATATCAAATTATTACTCCAAGTCTTTCAAGATCAATTTTAATCCTTACTAAATGTGTAAAATTGTGATATGTACTTGAACTATTTTTGAAACAATTTTCACAAAGTATTTTGAACCAAAATCAAGCCTTAAATCAATTTTCAAAGGCATGCATCGATGCATCAATCCATGCATCGATGCACCATTGAATAAATTGAACATCGAATGCATTTCATGCATCGATGCACTCTCTATGCATCGATGCACTCTCTATGCATCGATGCACTTAGGTTTTATTAAAACATCGAATGTATTTCATGCATCGATGCACAAGTAATGCACCGATGCACTCAGGCTATTTTCAAACATCAAATGCATTTTATGCATCGATGCACACTTGGTTCACCGATGCACTAAGTGTTCCAACGGTCAAAATATTTGAATTTTACACTGATGCACCGATGCACTATGGTCATGCATCGATGCACCGATGCTCCCAACCAGTTTTATTAATTGTTTTCACACAATAACGGCTCTATTGACTCCACTAATCATCCCCAATGTTCAGAAGTGATTCAAGGTGTATTTAAACAACCTTAGAAGCCATTGATCAAAACAAGAAACATCAAGCAACTAGAGTCAAGAGAGAATCAAAGAGAAAGCATCAAACCTCAAGTTTGAGCATATCAAGCCTATTTTTCATTCAATATTCATTTTGCTTTCAAGAACACTTATTGTGCTCAATTATATTTATTCCTGAGTGTTCTTTCTTTGTTCTAGAATTGTGCAAACATCTTACCTTGTGAGGTTTTTCTTGAAAGTTTGCGAAATTTGTAATCTTCTCTTTGAGAAAGAGTGTTCTCAAAAATTGAGGTATAATTCTTGAGGGAATTGTAAGGTTATCTCGTTGGCCTCAAAAGAAAGAACAAATTAGTGAATTTGTTGGAAAATCCTTAGTGTGGATAGCTAAGGTAGTGGACGTAGATTTTGTTGAGAAAGTCGAACCACTGTAAATCGCTGTGCAATTACTTTCAATTTTCTGTAAAAGCTTCCACCAAAATTTTAATTGCCAATTCACCCACCTCTTGGTCGATTCCATCGTTCGATTAACTCAACAATAATGAAAACAACTCACAAATTATCGATTAGGTTTCAATCAATCTTCACCAATGATCAAATTGTCGGCGATAGGCCATTTGAAGCTCTGATATCATGTTAGATAACATAGCTTTGTTAGAATCATCATGAACAAGAGTGAGAGAAGAAGAAAAACATGTGAGCAAAGCAAAAATAGAGAAGGAAAAAAGAAGAATGAATAGAACAAATTTTTAGACTTTGGCAATAGTTTATAATTGTGGGTTAATAAGCCCAACACAAGGCAAACACTTGTATAACCCATAAGTGGCCTAACAGAATTGTAAAAATTTAAATAATATTAGAAATTAGAATATTCTAATATTCATGTGGAAACTCTTAATTTTTCGAGGTTTTTGAAACCCAACTGTGTGGCTTAAAATAGAATAGAATTTAATATTATAGAAACACCCGAATTCGAGAGTCATCACTAATTTCCAATCATTAAGGGGGTTCAAAAATACTTGACCCGATTGACCCGACTCAACGACCCGAACTAAAAAATCGAGTATTTTTCTAAAAAAAATACTCGACCAGGCTGGGTACATGTCCCGACATTTTTTGGGTCAGGCCCGGGTCACAAAATTTATTTTTTGGGTACCCAATTACCCGAATACCCGTTATAATTATTTTTATATATATTATAATATTACATATTTAATTATTAATAATTTATATATTAAATTAAAAAAATCCTACCCACCCAATAATTGTATATTTAATAACTAATATAATATTTTTAATAATATAAGTTTTTTAAAAATTAATAATTTAAAAAAATTAAAAATCGAGTACTTGATTACTCGAATTACATGTACCCACAAAATTCGAGTACCCGCAACATCCATATTGGGACACATGCCGAAAAATCTAATACCCAAAAACCTGGGTATCCGGAACTTTGGGTACCCGGATTTGAACACCCCTACCGATCATGACTTGGATAAAGGAGACGACTCTTCCATTAATTTTGATCTACCTTTGCATGAATCCAACTCTAACCCCTGTTATTGGTATCAATCCCCCGGAGTTTTCGATCTTTGGAGTAATAATATACAAGCATTATTGTATGTTCTATCTTTATTATGCACTCTGTTCATTTCGTTATTTTATTTTAAAACTTATATATATATGATACTCTGCTTTACTTTTGTCTCATTCTGATGAAGTGACGTTTAGGCCTTGTTGTTGTAAAGTTCGTGATTTTCACAGATAACAGGAGGTTTTAGGTACCAAAGATAAAATTATGGAAGAAACAAACTATTTGTTTAAAGATAAAAATCGCAATCATACTATGTATATAGACTCTAAGAACGATAATAATATTACTTATATTAGTAAAGATTTTAATTGTTTAATAGATATAACATCTATATATTTTAAATAGTTGTATATAAAGTTAATAACATAGAACAAAAAAAAATAGTAGTATTGGAGTGGTAACTGAGATAGATCTAAATAGTGAATCTAAAAAATTATTATCTGATATTAATAGTAAACTAGATCAAGTTATGTTATCTTTTAACCAAGAAGATGATATAAAATTAGGTCATTTATATTATGAAAATGGAAACACCATGTTAAATTATGATACTACAGACAATAGTACCAGTTCTAAAAATAATTCAAAAGATATAGAAATTATAAATATTAATATTCCAGAAGAAAATAATTTAGATCTTATGGAAACAAATCAAACAGATCCAGATACAAAAGGAAAAAGGGAATTATATCATGATCCTTTTGAAGACGATTATTTAAGGTCTTTTAATATAGACTATGATAGAGACCAAAATACTACTAGGATAATAGGAGAACAAGTAGAACATATTTACACTAATGAAGTTAAAACTGAACAAACAAGAGAAACTTCAAAACCAGTTCCTTATAATATAGAAAATTTTAATAAAAGAAATGTTGCTCAAGGAGGAGTATATTTAGACTTGATCTTAAAAAGAATGATATCAAAGGTGTTAAAAGACCTATCTTGCATGGCAACATATCTTGGAAACATGTTTTAGGTAGGTGTATATATATTAATTATGTTGCTCAAGAAGGAGTATATTTAGACTTGATCTTAAAAAGAATGATGTCAAAGATGTTAAAGACCTATCTTGCATGCCAACATATATTGGAAACATGTTTTAGGTAGGTGTATATATATTATATAATTTTTTTATATAGAATAAACGTAAATAAAATTTTAATACAAGTATAAATTAGAATCAGTGAAACAAATTATTTTAAATTAAAAAATAATCTATATATATATATATATATATATATATATATATTTAAACTCACGAAATATCAATTAAATTAAAATTTAACGAATAAATACATGTTAAAAGCGCTAAAATGGGAAAACAAAACCAAAACCCTGTCGCTACATTTTCCGATCTCAAAAACCAAAACCAAATTCAAAAACCCAAAGCGTTCCTCGACACACAAACACAGCCCTTTTTGTTATTTGTTATTTGTTTTTGTTTCTCAGATTGGCTCAGATTGGCGCCGTCAATCACAAAATCGTTTATGAAGCAGACCGCCATCTGAAATTTATTTTTCCCAGGTGACGTTATTTCCTTCCATTTTCTTTTGAATTTATGCTGAATTTGTAAACTTTATATGTTCTCTTTCTTTACTTTTAATGGTCGCAACTTCCTTAAATTTTCGTTCCAATTTCAGATCTCTTTTCTTCTTCCCATTTATATGTTTTTTTTAAAGGCAATTGATTTGAGTTCATTGCTTCTGTTTGACTTTGGCGGCACTAACAGCTTTCCTCCTTTGGTTTACTTTCTTACCTACCAGTTTTATCAGTTGATAATTAGGGTTTTCAAATTTCCTTCAGTAATAGAACGGGGAGTACAGAGACTATCCTCACTTTATTGAATTGGAAAAATAATGATCTTTGCGAACATGTGTGTGTGTGTATAATTTAACTTAATTTCTGCAATAGCTGAATAAGATTTGTTTCAGGTAGACGATCCCCATGGCTGCTTCAGAAGAGAATGGTGCATTGTTTCCGATTTTCATTTTAACAATAATGGCGCTGCCTTTAGTGCCCTATACGATAATGAAGTTGTGCCGAGCTGCATCTAAGAATACTAAGGTCATTCATTGTCAGTGTGCACAATGCTCTCGTTCGGGGAAGTACCGCACATCGATATTTATGCGGGTCAGTCCTTTTCTGGTCCCTTAAAATTTGTTCTTGACTTTTCAGTTTATTAGGAGTTTCTAACATTTCACCTGCACTGAAACTGTTCGGCTTTGGAATTTGTTCTTGCAGATCTCAAACTTCTCAACGTGTAGTAACCTGACTCTGGTGCTGCTCTGGGTGGCCATGATATTCCTTGTTTGTTACATTAAAAACGTTAGCCAAGAGGTAAAGACATTTGGTTAGAGTATAATTCTATATTCACTTTAGATATTATTATCCCTATATTCTAGATGCTCTGCTATGAGCTGTGCTAATTTGTTTCTTTCTATTCAGATTCAAGTGTTTGAACCTTTCAGTATACTAGGATTGGAGCCTGGAGCTTCAGATTCTGAAATAAAGAAGGCATATAGGAGGCTTTCTGTTCAGTATCATCCAGATAAAAATCCAGATCCAGGTTGAAATGACTTTTAGGTTAGCAAGAAAAATAATTCATTTGAATGATAGTGTTTATTTACTTATAATTGCATTTATATTATTTTCCAGAGGCTCACAAATATTTTGTGGAGTTCATAGCCAAAGCTTATCAGGCTCTCACAGACCCAATATCCCGTGAAAATTTTGAGAAATATGGTCATCCAGATGGAAGACAAGTAATTGATTTCTTATCTGATAGAATGAGCAGCAGTTCATTTTAATACTGATCATTATTATAATTAGCCCTCCTCAAGAGTTAGACTGATATATCTTTTTGATGCAGGGTTTTCAAATGGGCGTTGCTCTTCCTCAGTTCTTACTAGACATAGATGGGGCATCTGGTGGCATACTTCTACTCTGGATTGTTGGCATTTGTATTCTCTTGCCTTTGGTGGTTGCTGTCATATATCTCTCAAGGTCATCAAAATATACGGGAAACTATGTCATGCATCAAACTATCTGCTTACTATTACTTCATGAAACCTTCTTTGGCCCCAAGGTACTTGTCTCTTTCTAAAATATTCATGAATCATAATCACTAATTACAACTCAAATAGTGCATCAACGTGTATTATATGCACATGCACTCCATGACCTGTGATGTTAACCCAAAAAAAGAAAGCATGTAATGTTATTCGAGCATTTTTTTTCCTTGTGAGTTCCTTCTTTTTTGGGATGGAGACCATCATTGGGAAACAGTGGTGTCCTCTTCCTTTCATTTTTTATTTATTTTTATACTTGTATTAATGAGGCACTGCACATGATACTTGTATAACCAGGTCTTTAGGGGCAAGCAAAACTTGATTCAACTCGGAAAAAGTCAAAAAACCATTTTGTTTTTCAAATTTTGAGTTATTCTAGTCAACTCAAATTTTTGGTTTGGATTTTCAGTTTGAGTTGAGTTTGAATTTTCAAAGTTCGAATAAATAGAAAACTGAAAATTAAAACGACATCGTTTTGGTCTTTAGCTTAGTAATTTGATTTTTTTAGCAATTTGGTCATCGATTTCCTTTTTCTTCAATTCCTTCTTTGTTTTAAGTCTTTTTTTTTTGACCAAATTTAAGCCACATGCTCCTCAACCACATTAGAATACCTGTATAGTTTCAATTCCTCTTTTTGACAACAAGTTTTTTAATTTGTAATTTAGTCCATCAACATTGCATGATTTCTTTGTTTCTTCAATTCTTCCCTTGCTTTAAGTCCATTTTTGACCAATTTTGAACCACATGCTTCTCTACCACTCTAGAATACCTATGTCACTTCCATTCCTACTTTTTACCACAAAATTTCTCGTTTTTAGGTTTAGTCTCTCAACTTTTCATTTATTCAATTTGATCCTTCAACTGCAACTATTTGCAAATTCTTCTTCCCATCAATTCTTTGACTCCTTTCAATACTTTATCCTTAAAATCCATTCTTTTAAAAAATAACATTATAACATATTTATATAATTTTAGATGATATTTGATTTATTAAATAATATTATAAATCTTCCTTACACTTGTGAAAAATAATTTGAATAAATATATATGTATATATATATATATGATTAGAGATAGGTGATTAATTTGGAATCAATCAATACCATACATTAGAAGTAATTACATTTAAATTTGGATAGAAACTCGAACAAATATTTTCGATTCAACTCGACTCGGAAGAAATTTAAATAAGGTTTAAATGATAAAATGGTACTCATAAACTTAACTACTTGAACTTTTTCAGTTTGGCTTGATTGAATTCTCATCCCTACTTACATTGAGCTTATGGATTTAATGGTAAATTGAGGGGGTTATAATAATGACCGGGTGTCGTCACGAAAATTGCTGAGTTCCTTGATGCTGTTGTCTATGTGAGATTTGATATCTATAGTGCTTAACCTGTCTTGATGTCTAATCGAATAACATTTTTCAACCTCGCTGTAAATATAGAATTGTGAAGTTGTTTGTATCATAATTGCAAAATTATCTGATTCATTTTGTTACCTGGTTCACAGCAAAGTTATGGAAGTCTTCACTAAGGCTGCCGAATATGTGGAAATTCCTGTTCGTAGGACTGATGATGAACCTCTCCAGAAGCTGTTCATGTCCGTCAGGAGTGAGTTGAATCTGGACCTTAAGAACATTAAACAAGAGCAAGCTAAATTCTGGAAACAACATCCAGCTATAGTGAAGGTAATTTATAGACTGATATATATCTTTATTGAAAAATAGTATTTTTGTCCCGGTTTATGGGGTTTCTTATTATTGCATTTGTCATTTTGTATCCAGACTGAATTGTTGATTCAAGCCCAATTAACCCGTGAATCAGCATCCTTATCTCCAGCCCTGCTTGCTGATTTTAAGCGCATGCTAGAACTTGCACCTCGTCTCCTTGAAGAATTACTGAAGGTCATATCTGTACCTGTATATCATAATTGAGTATCTATGACTGATCTGGATACCTCTGCATCTTGTAAATCTGTTCTATACCTTCTATCAGTAGTACTTTTTCCCATGGAAATTTAATCCTCTAGGCAAAAGTTAAAGTTGACATTTATGGTTCATATAGTTACCATATTGCCAAAACCCTCCGTATGGTGGATGCATGGATACCTTTTTTTTGGATAAGAATTGGAGGTCTCATTAATGCTTCAGGATAAGAAACTGTATGATAACTTAATAATGGCTCATAGTAACTTTGTTTCATTAAATAAGTTGAATAATATTCATGCATGGTTATGAGCGCAAATTTCCTGTCATTTGAGAAGTCCTACCTGCCCCTTGCATTGTCTAGGAGCTTTAGATATTTATGGCATATGTTAAATTTGAATTAATTCCAAAAAAAGAGTCAGATGAGATGACAGATTTCAGAGTGAATGATGGAATGAAATTGTAGCCAACAAAAATTGGCATGTTTACCCATGGGGTTTGCCCATGAGTACCATCTTTTCATGCTTTAGCCTGCTATCTGGCTATCTTCTATCCTTGTTTGCTCTGAATAATATCTAACTTTCACATCTTGCTTCTGTTATTAATCTATATTTTATTGCAGATGGCAATTGTCCCACGAACTGCTCAGGGTCATGGATGGCTTAGGCCAGCAGTAGGTGTTGTTGAGCTTTCTCAATGTATTATTCAGGTGCTTATTTTGGGGGATAATTAGCTAATTCTTTTTGTATAATCATTTCTACGTTATTGCCTTGCATAAATAAGTTATTGATTATTATCTATTAAAATTCTTTACACTATTTGTTTCAAAAAAATTTGAAATAGTTGAACCTGGTCTAAGTTATGCCCAACCCTTTTTGCTTTGAACAAAAATTTCCCTCCATCCTCCACAATTCCTTATCATTTTCTTGGAGTAAGAGTTACTTTACGTGAATTATCTCATAAATCCAAATACGTTTTTATCTTCATTTCCGATTGATTATATTCTCCCTTTCCTCCTCTGTCTTAGTTGCAGATGCAACATGTTGCAATTGCCCTCTTTTCCGCTCTTGTTAATGCTTGATGTTATTTATTTTGATTGATGTAACAGGCTGTTCCACTAAGTGCAAGAAAGACAACAGGCGGATCATCGGAAGGCATTGCATCATTCTTGCAGCTGCCTCATTTTAGTGAAGCTGTCGTAAGAAAGATAGCTCGCAAGGTAAGTGATAAATGTTTGGAAGAATGCATGCACTGTTCAACATTTCACCTTATTTCTGTCAATGAAGGTGCCCGATCTGCTTTCTGGTCTATGTAGGAAATTTAATGCAATCTGCTTTGATGCTTTTTTTCCTCTGTGCTTCTATTGAATAACACTTTGGTGAACTTTCTGTATATGTATAAACTACAAAGGAAGTTGTTTTGTATATCTTGGATATGTATAGGAAGATTCTGCTCATTTTAGGAGCTTTCAAATGAAGTTTTTCATATGTTTCTTAAACTAGACTTAAACAGGGAGTATTCATTTGAAGAAAATAGTTGATTCGTTTGAGGGTTTCTTTTCCTTACGTCCCTACTCGAATTCCTTGACATATTTATCTTTAGTTGTTTCCATTTGATCTAATGCTCAAGATCTATTCGTTTTCCATTGCAGAAGGTGAGAACGTTTCAAGAACTCCGAGACATGACTGTTGAAGATCGTGCTGAACTTTTAACTCAAGCAGCCGGATTTTCTACCGAGGAAGTAAAAGATGTTGCGATGGTATTGGAAATGATGCCTTCCTTAACAGTTGAAGTTACATGTGAGACTGAGGGTGAAGAGGGTATACAAGAGGGCGACATCGTGACAGTTCAAGCTTGGATAACACTCAAGCGCGGTAATGGCTTGATTGGCGCTCTTCCCCATGCCCCCTATTTCCCATTCCACAAGGAAGAAAATTTCTGGTTTTTGCTTGCGGATGCCGCCTCAAACAATATGTGGTTTTCCCAAAAAGTGAGCTTCATGGATGAAGCTACTGCAATAACTGCTGCTTCTAAAACTATCGAGGAGACAATGGAGGTTTCCGGAGCAAGTGGTAAGGAGACAAGTGAAGCGGTCAAAAAAGCCATAGAGAAGGTGCGAGCTGGCTCCAGATTGGTGATGGGCAAATTCCCGGCCCCGATGGAAGGGAATTACAGTTTGACTTGCTACTGTTTGTGCGACTCTTGGATAGGTTGTGATAAAAAGACGAACTTGAAGGTTAAAATTCTGAAAAGAACTAGAGCCGGCACCCGTGGCGGTCATGCATCGGAAGAAGGACCTCTTGTGGAGGACGGAGTAGAAGAGGAAGAGGAGAATGGAGAGGAGTATGATGAAGATTACGAGAGCGAGTACAGTGAAGATGAGGATGATGAGAAGGATACGAAAAAAAAGGGAGGTGCAGCTAATGGCACAGTGCCTAAGAAAGGCTCAAACTCTGATGGTTCAGATTCAGGTACGGATGAGGAATGAAGCAAACAATTCTATTTATCATTTAGAAGAATAAGCCACTTCTCTTTTTCTGTATAGAAAAAAAGTAGTGAATAACTGAAGGACCATGAAAAAGATAGATTCATACTTTTGATACTATAAACGTGTGGGTTAACATTTTTCAGCCTCGCAATTTTACTTTTAGTATCATGTGTTGGGTTATAAACTTGTCAAATCATTTAAAATGACTAGCTTGCAGTCATGGCGGTTGGAAAAACTGTAAAGCTTGCAGTCATGGTATGGTGTTGGCCAACAACTATCATGGACTTAGCAAAATTCTTCAGATGCATGTCTCCCTTTGCACTATGTTTACACCGGATGCGTAGTTATTTAAACTTGAAATTTTGGGGACAAAGCCTAATTTAACTAATGTTTAAACTTGTGGGTCATTCGACAAAATCACTCCATGTGTCATATTCAAAAAGTATTTGCTTGGTAGAATGATAAAAATTACTATTTAACGTTTGTATAAATGGTCGTTTCACACTTTTTTTTGAGTAGCTTAGTTTTAACGTTCAAGTTTTGACCAAAATAACATTTGTTGGGTGAAAATTGTTAGTTGAATATAGATCAACATATGTTACTATATGATATTTTCATTTGATTAGTTGTTGACGTGACATGTTATATTATTAAAAATGATGACATGGTATGATCGTCTCACCAAAAGTGATGGCGCACAGTGGCGGAGATACAGTTTGCCCATCTTGATATTCAATTTTTTTTTGATTAGTTATTGATTTTATTTATGGTGTACACCTTAAAATTTTTGATGTCCACCTTGAAATTTAAGTTTTCTTCGATTAGTTACTTATTTTACGGATCGTCCCACCCTGAAATTTTTGATGTCCATCTTGAAATTTAAGTTTTCTTCGATTAGTTACTTATTTTACGGATCGTCCCACCCTGAAATTTTTTATTTGTACCTATCCTATTTAATTTTTTTGTTAACATATATGTGTTCACCTTGAAAAATATTTATAGATCCTCCATTGATGACGAATTATGTGTCATACCACCCAAAATGACAACGTAACATATATAATATCAACAATTAAATACATGTGAAAATGTCATGTCAGTAATATGTGTTGATCATTACTTAAATAATGATTTTCATCTAACACAAGCTACTATGAGTAAAAATTGAAACATCGAAAATTAAAATACTCTAGAAAAGAAATTTATGTTGATCATTAATCAATTAAAATGTTGATATCCTTGAGATTTTGAGTTCAAGCACTAGGAATGCCAGAGATATGAGTGTTTAATATTATATACTCACAACTTACGAGATTGATTTTTTTTATTAAGCTAAGGTGATTACAAAGTAAAGTCTCTTTTAAATACTTTCAATCATTTAACAATGAACACTCAAATGTTTTGATGTAGCTTTGATACTTGAACCCTTGACATCTAAAAACAACAACAATTCTTTTAACAACTGAGATAGATTAATTCGTACTACTTACGAGATCGGTTGCATGTATCATATGCGTTGAAGCTTAATACATGCTAATCATATAGTATTATTGATGTCCAATCTCAATAATGTAATAGTCCAGAACAATTAAAGAATACTGTAACACATGGATCTCATAATTGTACCTCCTTACAATTCCCTTCCCAAGGTCTAATATGCTTCATGGTCTTTATCTATATATATATATATATATTAAATAACATATATTCTACTCATTAATAAAGAAATATAATAAAGTTATCTCCATTAAATACAATTCAGTGTTTACAAGCAAATTGTGATTGCCTTGTAGAGCTTACACTTACCTTAAGAACTTTAAGGATGCATACGCTCGTAACTATGCCCTAACCAATTTCATAAAATCAACATCTTTCTTATATAAAAAATATATTAATTATTTCCCCCAACTTCACCCTCAATTGCTTAAGATGCTTGGATTGAAGATTTAAATTCATTGGTTACAAGTAAACAATGAAATTAGCTGTAATATGGATATTAATTCAATCATTTGCCATTTCAGTCTTGGTGATCACACCTCATCTCTCACACGCATAAATTAGCTAAAACATTAATACTGAGTTCCAATGAACACCTAAAGAGAATCAGAAAAACTGAAGAAAAGTTTGAATAATTTGGACAAACATGAAACACAGACATAAGGCCAGCCTAGGCTGCAGCTTTCTGTTTCTTCGGCATGCGGTAGCCGCCAACAACACATGCATGGTCTCGCTCGAAAGGTTCGAGAGTGACTTGTTCGAAAGGCTTGAACTGCTCCTGCTGCAATTTCTTAACCTCGCTCTGGAATACAGCCTCTGCCGGAACAGTCGAGTCGATGCAGTTTGCCTGAACAAATATTCAAAACCTAAGCTTAAAAGTCTGCATACAGAGCTTGATCCAATTCTTACAATGTCAACTTCCAGGTCCCTAAAAACTAACAAATCTCACATGTTTTAAAGTTTAGAATCACAAAAAATTTACCAACCTTGATTGAAATAACAAAATGACCGCCAGCTTTCAGGAAAAATGATGCATTCAAAGCCAGAATCCTTGCCTGCAAACAATGTAACAGAAATTAAATACAAGCACGGGAAGATCTGTCTCACTCTTCTTCACCCGGAGAAGACGAGTAAGCTGGAGCACCATCTTCGGACAAAGGAAATGAAAACCACATCATTTGCATAACTGAAGTTAAAATGAAAACGATCCAGACTCATAAATACAAATACATGCACATACACACAAATGGTGGGGAAGAGATGATCTGCTACATGTGAGTTTCAAGCATGTACTGGTATAAAAAGGAAAGTATCCATAAGTTCAACTTCTTGTAGATACTTAAGTCGGTGACCAGTATACTAGACGAAACCAGAAATTGTGTAGGAAAAAAAATCAAAGAACCCTTCTTTTATAAAAGAAATATTGCATCAGAAACTCGAGTTTGCATCACCCATGAAGTCTTGAAGGGGAATCCGAGTAGAGTTCATCATTTGCGTTTAACAGATCAACCTGTTTTCAGAATGCTGAAGACCAGAACCATATGAAAACCATACAGAAGCATGGATGTGATGAAATAAACAGATCACATAAATCGAAAGGTTGTTGATTAATCTAGCAAGTGAATCTGATCCTCATTGTTTTTTCCCAATGATCTAAAACATAAATACTCAAAAAGCAAACCTGATCAGGCTGAGCGACATCGGAAAATATCACATCCACCATGCCAACTAACATCCTATATTTAGCCGGATGTCTAGCATCTTCTATAATAGGTATAACATTTGTTCGCTTCTTTGCCATGTTAACCAAGTCTCTACCACTTCTGTGAGAAAATTCCACAGCATAAACCACTCCATTCTGAGAAAAAAGAACAAACATTAAGCGACTCTGCCAGATGCAAACATGCAAAGAACATTCGGAAATTTGGGTTCAATACTGCACTTACAGGACCAACAACATCAGATACATGAGAAACGGTTGTGCCAGACGCAGCTCCTAGGTAGAGAACCTTAGCACCGGGTTTCTTGATTAAACAAGAACGATAATAATTGCAGGTCAGATATGCATATAATGTAAAGTATATGAACAAACACGAAAAGACGAATGAAAAACTTACAATCCATATGTTATCAACACCACCAAGAATCGCAGCTGCCAACTTGGATCGGAAAGGATTCCACACCCTGTACTCAACTTTGGTCCCATCTTCATTCTGCTAAGAGTAAAATCATGAAGAACAAAACACCCAGCTACTTCATTCCTGAGTCGAAAAGCTAAGGAACAACTCAAAAAATGATATAAAATTTTTATGTACTTAAGTTCATGCTCAAGTTCGAGCTTCAATCAAACTAAGACTGAGAATATTTAGAGTTAAGATTTTTTTAGCTCGAGTAAGTCCCAATTTTTTATTTCGAATTCTTGAGCTTTAACAATTTTGAGCTCGCAAAATTTCTCAAGCTCAACTTTAAACTTTTTGAATGAGTTGAGCTCTGCAACACTGGAACTCGACTCATTTACAGCTCTAATACAACACATGATGTCTAAAGCACTTATATAAGAGTGGGTGATTAGAAATATGAAATGACCTGAACAGAAATCCTCTTTTCATTGTAGACAGCCTCACCAGGGACCATATTCTTAGTAACAAGAGCATCTTCTTTACCCTTGGCAACAAAAACTCCTTCATGCCTATGGGGCTCAACTACAACCTTGCTCCCACCTTTCATTCCACCGCCTCTTCCTCCACGTCCTCTCCCTCCACCACGGCCACCGCCACGGGACATCATGGCACTGCCTCCCCTATCGCCGCCTCTTCCACCACCTCTTCCTCTCCCTCTACCCCCATCACCTCTTCCCCTAAACCCACCACCGCCACCACGTCCTGCACATAATCAAACCACAAGATAACGTTACCAGACACTAAAATCATTTTTCTGGAAAAATAAACCATAAGCTCCAAACTATCAAACCCAGTTGTTTAAACCAAAAGAACAAGAAATACATTCGATACCTCTTGGAGGTCTCATCCCTAGTAGAGTTTGACAGCGAATATAGTGAACAAGAAGGAAGAAAGGGGCGAAGCAAATGAAATGACACGGGTGAGTGACTAAAGGCTAGGGTTTATGCGTGATATAAAACGAAGAGTAGGGCTTAAGGGCGAAAAAGAAAGGGGACAAAGGCCCGCTGCATTTAAAGCAATGGGCTTGAGATGACTCGAACACTATAAACTATTTAGGTGGCGTTTCATTCGCTGAAATGTTTATGAGAGAATTGAAATCTGTGAAGGAATTAAAATCTGTAGGAATTGGAATCCAATTTCATATTCTGTTTGGTTGGCAGAAAATGTAATTGAAATACAATTCTATATTTTGTTTGGTTCGCAGACATGTCAGATGAATTTGATTTTAGTAATGTAAAATGACATAATTGCCCTTCTTATTTTTTTGCTTTATTTTAGTTTATTTTACAACTTACATATAATAATATATTATAAAAAATTAAAAAAGATTAAATTTTCATTTTATTGATTGATTATCCATTTCAATAAATTATAAAAATCATGCTAATAAACATTATAATTTAAAATCATCGCAATCAAAATATGTTAATAAGTTACCAAAAGATAGAGCAATATTTCGATACATTCTAATCGGAGTATGTTAATTAGTTACCAAAAAATATACCAAAAACTATGTTTATTCAATATATGGATTAGAAACTCGACCCGACACGACTCAAAATAATAAAAAAAATTATTTTTATTTAATAAAAACATTGACTTAATTGAAAAAAATTATATATAGAGGGGTATTATTGTAATTATTCCTAAATATATAAGGTAAAATTATATATTTTTTTCGGGTCGATCCGGTTTTTTTCACCCTAAACTCGAACCCGACCCGACCTGACCCGAATATCACACTTAAAAAACCCAACCCAACCCGAACAAAATAAAGTTTCATCCGACCCGACCCGAATATATGAATTAGAAATCCGACCCGAAATAATAAAAAATTATTTTTATTTAATAAAAACAGTGACTTAATCCGACCCGACCCGAATTATATATATTTTCGGGTCGGTCTGATTTTTTTCACCCTAAACCCGAACCCGACCCGAATATCACACTTAAAAAAACCCGACCCGACTCGACCCGAATATCATACTTAAAAAACCCGACCCGAACAAAATAAAGTTTCATCCGACCCGACCCGAATATATGTATTAGAAATCCAACCCGACCCGACCCGAAATAATAAAAAATTATTTTTATTTAATAAAAACAGTGACTTAATCCGACCCGACCTGAATTATATATATTTTCGGGTCGGTCCGGTTTTTTTCACCCTAAACTCGAACCCGACCCGACCTGAATATCACACTTAAAAAAACCCGATCCGACCCGACCAAAATAAAGTTTCACCCAACCCGACCCGACCCGAATATATGAATTAGAAACCTGACCCGACCCGAAATAATAAATTTTTTTTATTCAATATATAAATAAGTTACCAAAGGATTGATGAGGGATTATGGTCAAATTTCAATTCCCTCCAACAAGGGAATTGAATTCCATCCATTTTTGGATGGATTTCACTTTCCCTCATTTGATGGAATTGAATTCCATCAGAGATTCCAATTCCCTTGAAAAACTTGAACCAAACATGGGAAAGTGGTAGAATTGGATTCCAATTCCCACCAATTCCAAGAGATTTCATCCAACCAAACGTCACCTTAAGGTTAAAACTTGGAAGTTGAAGTTTTTTTTGGCTTAATACTAAAATAGGTGTCCAAACTATACTATTGTTATAAATAGGTGCATAAACTATTTTTTGACTCATCTCGGTGCTTAACGTCATAAACGTTACTCATTTAGGTGTCTGGGCCGTCAACGGTGTTAATTTCTCCATTAAGTAACACGTGTCACAACCTGAGAATTTTAAAATTTTATTTAAAATTTAAAAATTAAAATTATATATATATATATATATATTAAAAAATAAAACATAAATTTTGAAATAAACCCAACACTTTAGAAACCTTCATTTTAACCCTTAAACCTATGTCAGCCGAACGACGACGAATCAACGTTTATACCCCACGAACACTATGATGAAAATCACGATTCCATGCGATTCCGACGGCCAACCGACGGAAACTACGATGACGTATGAATATGAGGATGGTAGGGACTATGTCGGTTGCAGTGGCAACTGTAAAAAAAAGCTGCGGTAGCGGATTAAGGTTATGATTTGAGATTTTGAGATTGTTTTATAATAGGGTAAACTACATAAATGGTCACTAATGTTTGAGTAAGTTTTCATTTTCCCTACTGAAGTTTTAAAAGTAACAAATTAGTCATTAACGTTATCGATAAATGACAAATTGGTCACTAACATTATCGATTTATAACAAATCGGTCACTCTACGTTAACCACTATTAACGTGGTTGAAGGAAGCTGATGTGGACCGTTAACTTAACTTACCTAGCTATCTCGTGGTTAAAAGAGGTCAAATATATGTTGGGGGGGGGATTTGGGTCTTTTCTTTAAAAATCTCATGGCCAGTTAAATCAAACCGCCGCTAGTGGGTGGAGCAAGGCTCTGGGCATTCATGGAATGTAACACCCCAATTTAGGGGCTAAATTTAATAAATTATAAGGTGGTGAATTTAATTGGAATTTTGGAAGATATTGATGATTAAATTGAATAATTTCAAAGTTGGCAGACCGTTTTAAGAAGTAAATAAAGTTTAGTGGCTAAACTCATGATTTAACCATTTTTATATATGTTGAATTATAAATCTCTCCCCCCGTCAGTTTCCAGAATGATTTTCCAGATTTTCCCTCTCCGATCAACCAACTTTCAACTCCGATCTACTCGCCGTCCGACCTCCGATCGACGAGCCGAAACCACCATCGTGTTCGTTGTCAACCGAGGAACAAAACCCCTCAAACTTTTCGTCGTGAATCATATTCGTTCGTCGTTAATTTCAGTCGGAAGTATCGTCGGTAATAACTCGGTTTTAGTTGGTTTTTCATCGATTCACGACGATCGGGTCATCCGTTTACGACACCTCCCGCACCATCGTGTTTGTTGCATCGTTCCGAGTTCGCCGGTGTCATCCTTGGTCTCCGTCGATGGCGGCGCGTGAGGAGGTGAAGCAATCAAAGTTTCCGATTTGTTGAAATCGAGCTCTCCGCCGTTCAAAATTGTGAACCGAGCTTCGTAAGTATCTTGAAATCACTCGAAATAATTTTAAAGAATTTTTCCGTGGTTTTTAGGCAGCCGGAAGGGGTCCCACGCGCCGTCACTGCGTGTGGGGATGGTCCAAATGACCGGTTTGACCGGTTTTGGTGCATAATTGACTGGTTTGACCGGTCATAACCCGGCCCGACCCGTTTACCCGACCCGTTGACCTGACCCGACCCGTTGACTCGACCCGACTCGTTGACCCGTTGACTGTTGACCGTTGACCGACGTTGACCACTGTTGACCAAAACTTTGACCGGCTTTGAACGGGCATTAAACGACCTTTGACTTCGACCGAGTATACCTATCCTGACATTTTTCGACGTTCCAAATCCGATTCCGCAGTCCGTTTCTCGAAATTCAAACCCGAAGGCCTCGAAATTTCCAGTCAAACCCGTTGACTTTGATTTTGACCGAAAATTCCAAATTTTCGAAAAGCCATATTTTATGCTTTCGACGTCCTGAATCCGAATCCGAAGTCGGTTTTGCCAAATTCGAACATGGTAAGCTGTTTTTGACTGATTTATCATCCGATTCGATCTGTTTTTCAGAATTAAGCTTCGTTCTTGATGTAATTTCTGTTTATATGGATCCGAGGAAATATTGGAAGTTGAATTGAAGATCAAAGGTGTTCGAATGGAATTTTTATGGTCGATCAGTATTACACAGAAATCGAAGTAATACTTTACTACCTCTTTATGCTTTATGGAACATGTTTATATTGATAAATGCATGAACAAGATAATGTTGGTCACTTTGGTGGAGTTGAATAATTTATACACTCGATATGATGTGATAGAAATTCTGTAACTAATTAAGGATCGAATGACTAAATAAGAGATTAAGGAATTGTGAGATTAAATTACAAGTTTGTGATTAGTGATAAAGAAATCAACCCTGTATCTGCAACTTATAATTTATTTCATCAGAGGTTAAATGTTAAAGGTACTTGGATGGGAAATTATGAGAATACTCCGGTAGGGTAAAATTATGAAAATACCCTTATGTTATAAAAAGACAAGATTTGAATATGGAAGTTAGATAAGAGGATTTTACAGACATATTGATCTGATAAAAATATTGATGTGTATAAGAAATGTTAGTTTTATTTGGAAATTATGGATAACCGGTTTTAATCTTATGAGAATTTGTGAAGGATACTAGAAGTTTGTTAAGAGAACCGTTTCAAGATCAGGGAGTATTCAAGAAAGCAATTAATCATAGGATCTCTAAATAATATTATTTTCGTTAAGAGCTAATATCGAAATTATCTGGTTAAGAAATTACGGAAATACCTTAAGAGGTAGAATAGTCTGAGTTGACTCTGAATGAGAAAATACTTAGAGGATTCGTACTTAACTTTATTAAGTACGGATTTGATTGTTAAAATCCTGACTTAGTGTAGGAAAATTCCTGATGTTCCGTTTGTAAAATCTGAGAAGGCACTTGACCCGAAAATATCCGAGTTATGAGTAAATACCTGAAGAACAATTTGTCGGGGGTGTTCTGTTGTCAGAATTGTTCGAAAGGACTGAAATAAATGATAAGATTGAATTTAATAGTAAGATCAGACGGAAGGAAATGATTAAAGTACACTGAATCTGTACAATGACCAAAATATCCCTGTAATAGAAATGACCCAAGAATACCACCAAGCTTAAGAATGATTGGATATCCTCGAGGTCTGAATTGAATGGAATAAAACTGAACACCAAAATTACCAAAATACCCTTATGGCCTATATTAAGTAAATGTCTTGGATTAATTAAGGAATC